AAATAAGAGTGCGATTGGGAAAGTGATTGCCTACCTCCAGTCCCTCCTTGTCACGCTCCAAATCCAAGAGCTCGAGGATGAGGGAGGCGTCTGAGGCATCGTCGATGAACACTTCTTGGTTGTCGGGAACTTGTCGTATGTCACTGGGAGCAGATTCATGCGTTGGAAAGAGCGTCAGGGGGGGGATTTGATCCATGCTTCTTGATTCCCACAACCCTGCAGGCACATGAGATTCGACACTGAAAACTCCACGGACCTGGCACTGGAGAAGGAAGCTGGAAGGGAAATCGTGATGGCGCCACCGAAAAGCGCGTGCGAACGGACTGAATGACCATCATGAAAAGATGGTTAGTTTACGTGCAAAATCTGGCGTTTTGCATCTGTCGATTGGGAACTATCTGTAAAACAACTAGACGCACCGTCCATGCGCCGGCCCCCACGGTCAATAGACTGAAATACCTTTTTCCGAAATACTTTTTTCCTTTCTGGTCATCAAAGTATGTAAGACCTCAAATATTCATCCTGGGTGTGATTTCGTCACCGAGAAGGGCAAAAAATGGAGGAATTAATTGTGGGGAGTCAAGCCTTTTCTCGAGAGTCCCACCCTCCATAATATTTCCAACAACAAATATGTATATAAATTGAAACATTCTGCGAATATATTAGACATTCATAATCGACGCTACATTTTACGTCACATCGTATTCAACCGTATTGTTCTTGATGCAGATGCGCGAAAGAAAGAGGATGATATGCGTATTGCCTGCTAGCTAGCCGTAGCTGGTGGCTACTACTGGCTAGAAGTACTACTTTCCTTGAGAATTGCTTTTTTAAAAAATCAACGGCATCACTTGACGCGTTAAATTATGACAGTAAGTGATGATGTCCCAGCCAAGGATTGCTAGTTTCTCTCCCTGGATTGAAGTGACGATACAGTCTGCGTTTTACGCAGGGCGGCAAGAAGGGAAAATGACACACACAGTTGCCATGCGTTGACTACACTTAAGAAGAGCGTGAGTAACGCCGATTGCGTCTTACTATGAGGCACAGACCATGCCGACTCGACAAATCACGATCTTTGTCATTAGTGAGGAATGTGCGGGTTTTGAGACGGGCGTCGAGGTTTTAGTGTTGGGGTCTTGGGATTTTCTCGCTGACTCGCCCGCATCTCCTCAAGTCAAGCACCTGGTCGTTATCTTCCCCTCTTACCCCCCTGCCCATCCTCTCTGGACGTTAATTCAGCCTGTATTACGCTTGTAGTAACACGCAGCGCTTATTTAACAGATATGCCCGCCATGAAGAGCTCAACCGCTGGCAAAAAAATGAAAGGAGTCGGTAAAGCCGCCGCAAACGGGGCTGGTCCTGCTTCCAAAGTAACCCCCAAGGTGGAGGATATGGACAGGAAAGCTTTACAGGTATTCAGATTGTAATTTATTAGAGAAATTAAACAAATGAAATGACAAGTGAAGAATGACAGGACAAGCAAAAAGGACTCAGTAAACGTCGTGTGGGGAATACCGAAATGTGTGTGCACAGACGTACACCGACGCGTTTGAATGCTCGATTGCCGGCAAATTAGGATCGTTGGCCCCCCGACAAGACTCTCCGTTTTTTATAATCACCTGCTCTCCAGACACTTGCCAAATCCCTGGGCTTGAAAGCGAACGTTAAGACGGTGGAATTGATCGCGGCTATCCAGGAGCATTACCAGCATGGTGCCTTCACCGCCCCGCCCGCCTCGGTGGCCTTGTCTTCTCCCTCTGCCGACGCTCTTCCCACAACTGCGGAGAGCAAGACATCGGGCCGTGCGAGGAGCAGTCAGGAAAAGAGCGTGAAGGTGAAACAATCCGGGGGTGAAGGGAAGGGTGGCATGGTTCTGGAGGCGTTATCGCGGTAAGAGGACAGGAGGGACCGGCGAAAGAGGGAGGTGGACGAGCAATGAGAGTGAAATGTTGGGTAGAATATGGTAAAAACAGGTAGATTGAGGGGGGGGAGTGGATATGTGCGTCCGTCAAGATAAGATACGCCTTCCCGCCGTATTGACTTTCCTCCATCCCTCCCTCCTTCCCTCCCTTGCTCCCTCCCGTCCTCCCTCCTTCCCTCCTTTTCTTCCCTCCTCATCTCTCACCAGCCCTGAGCTCCAGGCTCTGGCTAAGAAAATGGGCGTGAAAGCCAATCTGAAGACGGCGCAGCTTATCGCTCAGATCAGGTTCGTAGAGAGGGAGGTAAAGGGCGGGGCATGGGGGGG